CTTGAGTCAATAAGCCATCTCCCTGCTTTGTGGTTTAAGATAGTTCTAACTTGGTGAGGCGTGCTGTCAATTTTCCTCCAAGGGTTAACCTCCTGCTCTCTCAGCTGGTATTGCCGTGGCCGCGATGGATTGCACGCATTGAGGCCATGCACAGGTGACTGGGTCTAAGACCTTGGACAGGAAGGCCACGGGCTGCCGGTGGCCTCCGTGACCTTGAGTAAGCTCTCCTAAAGCTACTCCATTGTCCCCACTGACAAAAAGGTGGAACGGAAAGGGAGGGTAAGGCTAAAACGGGGGCGGCTATGAGCCTTTCTTTTAGCCTTTTGACTTGATCAGCTTCCTCAGAAGTCCGAAGGAGACGGTCAGGCTTCTCCCGGGCAAGTTTCTGATGTAAGTCTCCCGTGTAGTGCATACGAGGCGATCCGTCAGCAGCAGCCGCCAACTAACTCTAAAAATCTCCTGAGTTTTTGTTTAGCTTGAGGCGAGGGTAGGGACACGATCCCCTCAACTCCTCCAGGCCCCATTCTTCCACTGCCTGCACCTACGTGGCCTAAATATTTAACGTGGGGCTCCACATACTGAAGTTTCTCTTTGAGACTCGTAGCCCCTCCAACGACAGACAGTTAAGAATACGTGTAGAGAAGTCAGTTACCTTCGCTGTATCTTCACCAGATATAAGAATATCTCCACATACTGAAGGAAGCATGTTTGCTCCGGGATGACAACTTTTTCTAATATTTGATCTAAGATTTGGCCAGAAAGATTAGGGGCGTCTGTGACCCCTTGGGGCAAGACCGTCCACTGATGTTGTTACCGCCCTGAATGAGGCTCCTCTCACTCAAAAGCAGATACACCCTGGCCACTTCAGCCAGGGGACATGCCCAGAAAGCATCCTTCAAGGCTGTCACAGTAAACCGTGGATGATGATACGGAATCTTGCTGAGGATGGTGTAAGGATTGGGGACAACAGGCTGAGTAGTCTGGACTCTCTGGTTGGCGGCTCTAAGGTCCTGTACCAGCCGCCATGACCCATCTGGTTTCTTGACTGGCAGTATCGGGGTGTTATGGGGGACATACAGGGCTTGAGAGGCCTGTCTTTAATAAGGTCTTCGATTATACATAGGTTTCAACCCTATCCTGCCCTCCAGTGAAATAGGGTGTTGCTTTCTTTTCTTCTCACTACTTTTCCCGGGGTCTTCAGCTTGGTGTGGATTGGAGGGCCTGGAGTTTCCCTCGGTTCCCTTCTAGGGGCCAGACATTAGGATTCATATATTTTTCATCTGCAGGGATGAGTAGATTTAACAAGGCGAGAAACCCTCTTCGGCTAATTTGTAGGCCTATGCCTAACCTCAACATTAGAGCCTAGTAAGTCAGTCCCTGCTTGGGGGATTAACAAACACTGAGTATGAGTTGAGCGATCCTGGTATTTGACGTCTGTGCTTTCCAAATTCTTGTTTAAAATCCTTCCCCCTTTACCCCAGAGACTAAAAGTTCTGGGCCGGGCGCGGTGGCTCAAGCCTGTAATCCCAGCACTTTGGGAGGCCGAAGCGGGTGGATCACGAGGTCAAGAGATCGAGACCATCCTGGTCAACACGGTGAAACCCCGTCTCTACTAAAAATACAAAAAATTAGCTGGGCATGGTGGCGCGTGCCTGTAATCCCAGCTACTCAGGAGGCTGAGGCAGGAGAATTGCCTGAACCCAGGAGGCGGAGGTTGCGGTGAGCCGAGATCGCGCCATTGCACTCCAGCCTGGGTAACAAGAGCGAAACTCCATCTCAAAAAAAAAAAAAAAAAAAGTTCTTCTGAGTAGACAACATTAGATGGGGAGTGGGGGGGGGGAGAAACAGAGGAGTGGGCGGCACCCGAATCGCCCAAAAAGGTGATGAGCTCATGTTTAGGCCCCACCTCCGAATTTATCAAGGGCTCCTGCTGGGACTCAAGATAAAAGAGCCCCGACCCCCCTATTCTTCCTCGGAAGTCATGAGTGGAAGGGCTTCTTTCTCCTTAGTTGGGGACATTCCCTGTTGAAGTGACCTGTCCTTCCACACCTGTAGCACCTTCTTGCCCTTCCTCCCTCTTAGTTCTGGGGTTCCATGCTCCTGCTCCCCCTACTCTTTAGGGGGTCCGGTAAACGAGGGCCTTGGACTTCCAGATGAAGCCTGGGGTCCCTTAAAGGAGGGTTTGGACCCTTTATAGCTTCCAGCTCCCTGGGAGCTGTGTCTAAAATACACAGGTTTGGAGCCATCTGTTGGAAGGTGGATAACATCAGTTTTTTTATTTATTTTTTTCTTTTCTTCGTCTCTCCTTACATAATACCTTCTGAGCTTCCCTAAGAAGCTCTCTTATGAGATGGTCTTCCCGCTTTTCTATCTTTTGTAATTTTTTTGAAATGTCTGGCCAACTTTTAGTGACAAATTGGAGTTTCAACGTTCCTTGCCGAAGGAGATCGTCCAAATTCAGGCCTGCGCGTTGCCTCGCTCCCTCAGTCTGCCTAGGAACCTATGGCCCGTCATCCTTTTTCTGTTGTATATCAAATGCTATAGGAAGGTTTTGAATTCAGAGTACTGATTCCCGAATTCCTTTCTTGATCACCTCCCTGAGGTCCCGCACGTTTTCCCAGTGATCTGCGTGGTTACTATCCCACCGGGGGTCTCAGGCGGGGAATTTCGTTTTGACCGGAAGGAAGCTCACGCTTCCAAACTGCCACAGGAGCCCTGCGAAGCATACTCCCTTTTTGCCCTGAAAAGAGGATGCCCAGGTGGATGTGAACTCCACACAGGTGTATAACTGAGGTCCTAAGAATTGGCCAATTTGATCTGCCACTCTGTAAGGGTCATCTAGTAATGGCTTAAGCTCCCTTTTCAATTCCGGACTTCCGAGCTCCTTAAGGGGCATTTACAAAGCCAGTGCCTCCCACCCCCACTCCTGCAGCACCTCTTTCAAAGGGGAGAGACAGCTGATTCTTTAGGTGTGGGGGGAAATGGGAAATTCTGAATATCCTTTTTACATTGTTCTACCTCAGGCTTTTAGAGAGGGGTGCGTAGGTTGGGAGGGAACAGGCTTACGGGATGGTGATTCCCAAGAGTCAGGGTTATAAGGAGGAGGGATAATGGGATCTGCGCGGGCAGCGGCTGCTTGAGGAGGAAGACTGGTCGCCGAGCGGGGGAAGATAATCTAGGGGTCCCATGTGATGGAGTCTTTAGGGACTGGCTTCTCTGACTTTTCCTTCTGAGCTGCCAGACTGGATTCTTCCCTATTTGTTTTTAAGGGGAAAAGGAAGACAGGTCCCTGCCTCCAATGAAGAGCACAGCCCCGTTCTTCCTGAGACACTAGACTTTCATCATTCACGTGTTGGATTAGAAGCTGGTACTTACATCCTCATTCGACCCAACCTTTGGCCAGAAGACCAAGGGCTTGACGATGGGTCCCTGAGTCCAAATAAAACAGCAACATTTTATCATCTCTTGCGTTTTCTTCTGTTTAGTCCTTTCCTGATCCTTCCAGTATTTTCACATGAGACCCCGGGGCCATCCAGGGGAATCTCCTCCTTACCATCTTTGTCCTTCTTCCTCCCTGGCTTGCCTGGGGTATTCCCCATCTTGCTGGTTTTGGGGTGAGGTTCAATTTCCCTTACTGGAAATTTCTCACCTTTTAGAGTGAGACCCAATTTCCCTTATTGGAAATTTCTAGCCTCCCCTACTATTGGAGGTTTGTGTGAGGTTCGATTCTCCCTAAAGGATATCTTACCTCTTTTTAACCTTCAGGCCACCCTGACCAAGGAACACTTCACCGCCCCCACCCCGAGGCTTTTCTTGCCTTGGTATATTCCGACCAAGAAATGGTTTACTGCCCACCCCCGCCTGCCCTCCCTCTCCCTGCTGCCCCCTCTTCCCCCTACCCCCTCTCCCTTTACCCTTTACCCCCACCCCCAACCCCCTCCCCCACCTCCCGCCCA